ACCAATCCTTTGATACCATCTATGCGATCCTGATGAGCCAGGTAGTCACTCTCAAGCAGTGCGATCTTCTTTTGCAAATTCTGCACAGAAACAAGGTCTTTTCCATAATCTTCGGAGGCAACCTGGCCTTCAAGTTCGCTAAGCCAAAGCTCCACATCCTCGATATTGCGATTGAACTGCTGTTCATCACCGGCTTCACGAAGTTTCGCTCCTTTCTTGTTGGTAGCATCAACGAGCTCATTCCACAATTCGTCTACGTCTTGGAGGCGACGGCGCACATCGTCAGCTTCTGGATGACCGCTTTCAATGATTTGTGCACCGGTATCGTTTATTTCGTCCAAGCGATTGCGATTAGCCTTGAGTTCCTGCTCGAAGTTGGTATGTTTCTGAAGCTTTCCACGAATGTTCGTTGGGTCAAGGTATGAATCGTCCTTAGCTGTCTTCAGCTTCTCCTTGATCCAGCTCTCCATTTCATCGCAATCACTAGACGCACAAATGATTATAACCTCAATCAAGTTTTTTCTAGGCGTATACTCACCGATTGAATGTCTGCTTCTTATAGTTTTCGTGCAGTTGACGCGCACGATCAGCTGCGCGGTCCATTAGTCGCCGGCGACGATCCAGAAGGGCATGGCGTCTCCTAGACACATCGTCCGCAGCATAATGCTGTCCCTAAAAAGTTATGTTTGAGACTATGTGAATCTGATACCGTAATTTTATGATCCATAGTACTTACCTGGATCAACTTCGTTGCGAACTCATCCAAAGCATTGATCTTCTCCTCTTGTGCAGCTAGAGATTTCTCAAAGTCTTGATGCTTCTTAATCAGTGATTCGACGGCATCAAGAGAGTCGCCCAGGTCTTGATTAGCGAGGAAGGCCTCCTACAATTCAAAAGGGATACTATTAACAACGATTTTGAGTGATAACAGCCAGTCTCAATGTACCTGCTTGTTCATCCACGTTTCAGCTTGCTCTGTATCACGGTAAAACAGCTGTAGATCCATGCACTGTTCATAAAGGATACGACGTTCCTCCCACAAAGCAAGGAGAGCTGCTTTTTCATAAGCAAGATGTTCCAATTTTTGGCGCACCTGATAAGGATTGATAGATAAAAGAGCTTAATCTATAGTATTCTCACCTCATCGCTCTCTGGAATACCCATGTCCAAAAGGCCTTGTCCAGAAACAGCAGTCTGATTGAAACTGTCTTCTCTGGCATCTATCTCTCCTTTGTGTTCCTGATGACTTTCGAGTAGCGCTTCTGCACCGGCAACATCTTTGGCCAACTCATCAGCGGATATAACAGCTTTCATATCATTAATCCAGGAACACAGATCCCTGTAGTCAGCAAGGAACCGATGCAGCTGCAGGCTACGGTCCAATCCCTCCTTTCTCGCCTGAGCCTTTCTTTTCAGAGCGTTCCACTGTCCCTTGGCTTCACGCATTTTGGCTTCAATAGCATCTGCACGATCAGGATGGGTTTCGGATAGGCGCGCAGACTCCTGTAAAACTCCTTCTTCTCAAGAATATTTGACGAATAATATGCAAGAATACCTTCTCCAGCTGTTGCATCTTGCCTTCCAGAGCAGCCAGGTCTCTTTCTGTGCCTTCATGCTTTCTTTGCAAAGCCTGTACATTATTTAGATCACGACCGTAATCGTCACTTGAAAGGGCAGCGTCCTGTAAATATGCCGATCAGCCATAATAAGAACGGTCAGCTGAGAAAGCTGTGTCGCCTTCCAGACGAGTTTGCCAATATTACGTACCTTCTCAGCAATCCAAGCCAATGTCTCGTCTGCATCTCGGTTGAAACGCTGAACCTGATGCGCTCCAAAAAGAGATTCCTTCCTAGTTGCCGCTAATGTGTTGAGGCGATGCCAAGCCTCATTTACTTCGTCTCGTTTCTGTAAAAGCAAACCTTTTTGCAGCATCTTTCACCGAGGGATCGAGATAAACCTTGTAGATTTGATCATGTTCGGTATGTCCGTCTTCGACTAATTTGTCAGCTGCTTGATTGATCTCGTTTATACGATAATGATGATTTCCAAGCTCTTTCAAGAAATCTTCGAATTTACGTTGAAGCACCTCGACATGTTCCAAATCCATGCCCATGTCTTCAGCCGTTACGTATGCCTCCTGAGTTATTACTTCATGAAACAGAAAGATGAGGAATTTTGTGAAGACACTCACTTTGTCCCTAATCCAGTAAAGCACTTCATCGCATTGTCGAATGAACTGTAGCAATTTCAGCGCCTGTTGCAGCTTAATACCCTTATCTTTGAGTTTGAAGAAGAGCTTGTCCCAAAGTGCATGGAGTTCTTCAAGGCGCTTCTGAAACAAAAGGAAAATGTGGATATTTGTAAAAACAGAACATCAAGTGAATACCTTGATCACTTCACTGGCAAAATGCCCATGTTGGATCATTCCGTTACCGGTCTTGTCCAAATTACTGATGGTTTTAGCGTGAGCTTGGACTTCTGCCTCGAACGCTTCATGCTTTTGGATCTTAGCCTGTAAATATTCTTTGGCTTTAATAACTATACCACCCTTCAAAAGGCTTATCAATGACTAAGACTGACGAGGATCACATGCCCTAGACAGCTTCCCGTTCTATTCACGTGTAACCAGCTTCTTTCCCTTTATACCCCCACTTAGACCAAGTAAGGACCAAATGAAATTAAAACGGTATACAGCAAGCAGATAGATAACTCGACTTTCTATTCCAGCAAATCCTGCGAGAACTAACGTTTTTCAACGGCACAAGACATGTCATTGATCTAACTAAGATAATTAAGCGCATT